TATTATTATTATTATTATTATTATTATTATTATTATTATTATTATTTTATTCGCAGATTTCGATTGAAATTCTGGAGCAGTATTTTCATCAAAGCAATAATGGTAACTTGCCTAATAATCACATTTATTAAAAAATATTCAATATAAACACCTAACTTAAATTAACAATACACGAAACAAATTCACAAGTTTTATCAAAGGAATCAAATATTTGGAAAAGTAAAAATATTGATACTACCATAAAATATTTCATTCCGAGGGAGAAAATATTTTCTCTTAATTTTATGGAAAGTATTGAGGCATTTATAGTATGGAAAATTATGAGCCATCAAAACATGAATCTTCTCTTTAATTTTCAAGACAAAAATATAATAATGAAGTTCAAACATTTAAATGAGGAATAGTGACAAGAGCCTGGCCGTAGCATTTTAATTTTAAACAGCAATTACGTGTGGAGAGAGAAATGCTCGAACAGAAGCAATCTCACACATTCTGTGTTCCATTTCAACGAACATCGCCACACCTGAACTCCACCAGTGGAATTCGTTTCGTTAATGATTCACAACTAAAGTAATAAAATATCTATCGAAAGCGGAACTAGTGATTTACATTGTGTTTGCAATCGACAGGAAATTCACCGTGTTCCAGCATCCCTCCGCGAGCACCCTCCGCCCGTGGACGCTCTGTATCCAAATCGATTGATCATCCCCCTCCTGGAGTTTCTGCTTGCTTTTACATCAAAGCCGTCTCTGCACGACGGACGGACTTATCCGCGATACAGCTGGCTTGTTTGCTTTGTCAGCGTAGCTCCGGAGCTCTTAATAGGGAGTACAGCGAGCAGCGCGTTTGGAATCCGTTGATAATTCCTGGCACACGATTTAGTACGTCGAAGATTGATTGCTGCGTATGATTGCTGCTTTGTGATGGCTTTGCCTTTTAATTAGCTCCTCGATTCCCAAGAAATATGCAGTGGAAAGCTAGCAGGGATCATATGAGATTGAAGATATTTGTCGAAAATGGGTTTGCGTAAATGATAATTTGTTTGATTGACATTTCTGCCGATACTTTTGTTTTTATGAATATCTGTGTTAAATCCTTGTGAACATCTTACAATACGTCAGTTTTAGAGTGAGAGATACACGACTTTTCATTCTAGAAGAGTGAACCAACCAGCCTCTCTGCAACCTAGAATTCACCCCTCCCAAAAACGTCTTTGCCCAGGCTGTCAGATACTAAAAAATGGCTCAAGGAACTGCATTAAGCTCATTATTCAGTTTAAGCACCTCACTTTGCGTACTAGTATCTGAGAATATCTTTTTCATGGCTCTCTTAGGATATTTATCAGAACATTTTCAATCACTCCACAATGAAAACAAAACTGATTTCGTATTCCAAGATGTAAAAATATTATTGTGATTATCACTGAACATGCTGAACGACTCAAAATTATATTAAAAAGTCAGTTGCCTGTCGGCAAGATATAACTGTGATATCATCATCTTGAAACATAATAAGCTTATTCCCGACTGCGAAGTATAATGATGCGTCCAGTTGTGACAAAACTTTGAAAACACACTGCCAGAAGACATCAAATCGGCGTTACAAAAGTGAGATCTTCCTCTTTGAGAAGCGACCGCCCTGGGTTAATCTGACGTGCAAAATACTACCGTGCGCAGCACTGTCTGTTTCATACCGTCCGCATTTGATTCGCTCGGCATTTAACCGGGGCTGCTCAAATGCAATAATCGAGACCAGACTGCCCGCGATGCCTCTATGCAGGGGTTCGTGCATGTCTCTCACCTATCACTAGACTAGATCCGATTGCGCTCGAGTGTATCCACTCCTCTCTCCCTCCACTCATCGAGCTGGCTTGAGTCGATGAAAAGCGATCGGGGCAGACCACGTAAGCTGCCTACTCAAGCGTCCCTGATTTATTCTACTTTACGAAGTATCGTGTACACAAGCGGCAACAAAATTTAAGCTTGTTAATACGGCAAAATGTAAAACAGTAAGGCGCCCAATCTTCATATAGACAGTATACGCTTTCATTCATAATTCCAAAATAAGGTTCCTTTAATAATTTCAAGCGACAGCGATTTTCTATTTTTTGTGCGGAAATGGCATACTCATAAATAAAATTCCCATTTTCCATGTCCGAAAGCAATTTTCAGTTGCCCTGTATATGCTGCCTTAAGAACTGTCAAAAATAAACGTCATTCTCATGTTGCCGACCGACTGTTAAAGCTTCATTTCAGACAGAAAATATTGTAAACTCATTGATATAGTTGTGTGCGTTTGTTCGCAAACTGCAAAGCTGAAATACTTCCCCACTTGTTACTCATAAAATTCCTTGTACTCAGACACTCTTCTAACATGAATCCAAGGGTTCTTAAGAACAAATCACTTGCAAGAAAGTTATCGTAGGTTTGGATGAACTGGATCGTTAATATGTTTAAAAAATGAGAGATTTAATAAAAGAAAATTATTTTATAACGCATGTTTCGAGAATATTTCATGACAAATGCTTATTCTTTCATTGCAAAATATTTTTTCTTATGCTTTGTCCAAGAGGTACTGGAATGGAACAACAGAACTCAGAGTGAATAGTAATCAGTAAGAAGATGTGTTTAAATTGTGGAAGACAGTAACAAACCATCAGAGAGTTAATAAAAGTATAAATGTCATCCATTTACCATTCAAAAATCATTTTTTCAACAAAACACTTTGCAGTACATCTAAAAAACTTTTCGAGTGACAGAAAATTGCTCATATAAAATATCTTCGTTCCCAACATATAGTTTATTAATTCGATTTATTGAATTTATGAAGCAGGAAAATACAATAAAGTCGCCTTCAGGGCAAAAGCATCCACTTAACGCCCCGTGAGTCTGTTATCCACGGTTAGACCACTTCCCGTACACCAACCAATTCAGACATTCGACGCGTCTCGGTCTCATTATTATTATTTGTTTTCGGATCTGGCCAGAAGATTCTAATAAATGTCAAAAAACGTGTTTCTGCGTGTTTTGGTGCTGCGATATTAGTGACCAGATCGGGAATTAAACCAATGCCACCTAAATAGATCTATGTAAGTGGCGTTGATTAAATCCCCGTTCCCAGAGGCAATTTTGGCTCCATGACAGCATCATTTTCTTTCACGAGGATGGCAATACTGATTGCTGTCTACGAGTGAATCGCGCGGCAAAGTTCGTTTCACTTTCCTCCCCAATACCGTATTTTTTTAACTTAATTTGTAAATACATACGAACAGTATTGCCTTGCAACTCATTAAATTTTAAGAATTTCAAGTGAATACGGAGGAAACTAATCTGAGAAATGTTACAGAATGAATGCACATTTACGTTCTCGAACATTCAAATACCGATTTTCACAGGAATGTGACCCACAACTTCTTATTAAACTTCTACGTTGATCTCAGGAAGGGCCCTCGTCACGGCCTCTTGGATCAATCAATCGATCTCATCGGATTCCTTTCACGGCTGTCTGGATCCTCAGAGAGAGAAACAAGTTGGCCCGAGCCATGTCTGGACTGTACGGAGGTTGAGGCAGTGTTTTCAAGTTGCGGTGGTGTCAGTTTGTAATTAGGAAATAATCTGAATACTCTTTTCTTATTCCTGTAAATAATATCGCCAAACACCATGAGAGATTATTGCGCCCATACCCATCGTATATAAAGAAATGCTGCCACTTCATTTCTGAAATTTTCAAAACACTATTGTAAAAACTATGATAACAGAAACGGTTGTCAATAAGTTGTCTTAAACTTAATACAGGCTCAATGCGCTCCTTACAAGATACATATCCAGAGGTGAAATATTCTTGTAACCTCTAGACCGGAACGATGAAAGTTCATTGGATGAGTGATAATTCAATACACTACACCCTTACTGCACTACAAGAAAGCATGATGGTAATTTGTTGCGTCATTACTAGCGCTGTTGAAAAGCGTCTTTGAGATTAATATCAAAAGAGCCCTTTATACATAGAGGGAGAGCCTCCCCCTTTGTGCATTGGTCTGGAATCGCCGTTCAACGACTTGAGCTTTAAGGATAGTCTATTATCTAAAGCCTGTCGATACCAAGTGGCCCCTCGTATTTGAAGCAACTACGGTGTAGCAGCGTCGTTTTCGTCATCCAACTCGGAGGTCTTGTTTTCTTCTGATCATCTTTTTGTTTACCGCGAGATCGATTCTCGATTTCCAGACGGAGACCTACAACCGTTGCTCAGACCTTGCCGCTAGTTTGTTCTGTCGTAGCGTTCGCTTGAGATTATTTTTTCTTCTTTTATTGCTTACTGAACGTTTCTTATGAAAAGTTTGAAATTTGTTTTCAAGAACTGAAATAAAATGAAAAATTATAGAAAAACAGTGTTGTGACACTTTAAATCCTACAAAAAAAACGTTTCATTAAATGTCGGTTCATTAAATATTGAAGTTGAAGGAGCAAACTATTTGCAGCCTACTTGCCAATCATTCATTGCCCAATAACAAATTTGTTTTTTTAGAAATGCATCAACAAATTAAAGTTTTTTCTCATTACGGTGACATATTCAATATAGAGTGATAAATACCTCCAGCATACCTCTACTTCCAAAAGAAGCACAAAATGTAAGCCAACCTCTAATTAGAAAATTTACCTTGAAAAACAATATTTGTTTTGCACAACGACAACAGAAAATTTATTTAATTGAAATAATTAAATAAATAAGATTACAATTTTTGCTGCTATTATTTTAAACGATCACTCTGATCCCGCTAACTTAATAAAGATAATATCCGTGCTTCTGTTAAAAACTGAAGTAATTGTTTAAACATGCACTGTAAAGACTTGAGGCCACCTGCGAGTATAACAGACATAAAATTGTGGTACCGTGTTCGTGCAACAAAACCGGATGTAGCGATAGTAAAAAATGAAGTATGGATGTTATGACTATGGTATGTCAAGATATCATTAGCTTTCATATAAACTGCGGAAGATCACGAAAAATTCCTTTCGTATCGGGCTAGTAGGGCACAAGTATCCTGTGTAAAGTAAATATGTGTTTTTTGCCTCGTATCTGAGGTAATCGTTCAAATACAAAACAATTTATTGAAAATATGCTGTTTATGCGTACCTAGCACCAAGTGGCAATATGTAATAATGTGTAATATAATGAGTGTAATAAACAGTGTAGAAAAATTAAAATTATATATAATATTTTAGGGTCATAAAGATCTTAAATAAAAAGAAATACAATTTTAATGAACGATCGGGATAATTAAGTACAGTACATACCCTCTTAACAGGTAACATTGGGCCTGGCTTTCAGACATTTTTGAATGGTTTAACCGAAGTTCCTTTATAAGCATTAAAATACACCGGCGTCCCCTTGTTAACTCTCGTATGTTAATCCCTACCCTTTCCGTATCTATTTCCCTATCCTTCCCATTAAGAAGGAAAGTTGTTAATGAAACGGATTTATTTGTTAAAAAATGTATAAATGTAACTTCATACTTACAGAATATCAAACAAAAATAATACAATGCAATTGAAAAGACATTTTCAATAAAAGTGTATTCAGTATTATAGATATAGTATGGTCTTCGAATAATTCACACTTCCTTAAAAACAACATTTGTAGTAATTATTCAATTTTCCTTGACAGTTTTTCTTTTTTCGTGATAGTCACAAAAATATGAAAAAAGCTTTTTACTCTTGAGAAAGCTACGTGGCTGAACACGCTGACTTCAGTGTTTCACGGCATCATTGCTGATAACGATAATACTGGTACAGGTAAAATAAAAACCAAACATAACAAAACACGTCGTCACTCTTCACCGTACACTCACATTCCTCCACAATAAGGTAAGCAGTATTTGTAGACCTCGGCAAAATCGTAAATGCATTACACGCATAAGACACAGTTTTCATCGGTATCAAGTATTAATAGTGCATCTAGTTGCTGCTGTGAGAACGAATCTTGAATTATTAACTAAGCAAATAAAAGTTGTCTATCTGTGCAAACACGGAACGTGTACACAGAAAGGGTAAATAGTATATAATAGATGAATCTAAATCCTCTAAGTATGACGTCACAAAGAAACTCTTCCTCGATTTCTTTCAAACTATTTGGTACTCATATTGAACCTTAAAATATAATACTCCAAAATGCCGATGTGCATACAATTGTATATTATTTTATAATAATTGACAAACTCTCGTAGTATACAATTATTAATTAATCGATGGACGTCACCAAATATTTCTCTCGTTTTTGGTATTCTGAATATTCTCAAATCTTACACTCAGAAGCAGTAGAGAATATAACTTACAAAATTAAAGTTATTACCTTAGCCATTTAGTGTACGAGGAGAAATATTGAAAGGGTGATAGATGACTGAAAAGGCAGATTTGAAACCTTCGTGGCTCTGACTTTTCGCCCACCTCTGCAGCGCAGAGCAGAGGGCCTCCCACTCACGGCAGGGGGTGGGGGCGGGG